TGGGAACCAAATTAGGTGGCTTGAAGTGGAGAAGTCCCAAGGAGGGTGAGTGGGGTGGGTGTGGGAAGACGACATGTTGAGGGAACAGGAGCCAAGCGTCCCGGGTGGCACCCTGCACTCGCCCCTCAGGGTGGCAGTGTTGCATGGCCACATCGATGCCCTGGAGCTTGCTCACCGCAGGGTCCTTAGGGTCCAACTGCAGCCCCTTTAGGGAGTGAGGGCCTGTCTGTCAGGTCTAGACTGACAGGGCTTTTATTTTTATTTTTCCAGAGTTTGGGAGAAGGCTGGCCTAGTCTGTGTACTGTTGCCATGAGTAAAAAAGCACATCTACATCCTGGTACAGGAAGGCCTCTGCAAACCTCAGACTGAGATGGTGGAGCCGGATCCTCTCTAGCAGTGTGTCTAAGTTGAACACACGAATCATTGGGGAATTTTGTTAGCATGTGGATTCTAATTCCCCGTGTAGGTCAGGTGCGACACACGTTCTCTGGCAGTGTTGATGTTGCTGGTGCAACTGCACACGTAGATCCATACTTTCTAAGTTTTGCAGAGATTCCTTTTCAGCTATTTCCCTCTACATTTCCTGTGAAGGGGAACTTGACTATCACTTTCTGTATAAGTGGTGCTAGCTAGGAGCTAATAAGCTAAACTTCACTTTATGGAAGGTTGGATCCTGCTTTATAGATTTTTGTTCTAATTAGCACAGGCCTAGCCAACACTAGTTTTTGTTCTTGTTCTCTTTTTTTCCCTTTTTCCTCTTTATGTTTTTAAAAGATTTTATTTATGGAGCTCCTGGGTGGCTCAGTGGGTTAAGCGTCTGCCTCCGGCTCAGGTCCTGATCTCCGGGTCCTAGGATTGAGCCACGCATTGGGCTTCCTGCTCTGCAGGGGGTCTGCTGCTCGCTCTCTCCTGCCCCTCCCCACTGCTTGTTCTCAAAATCTTAAAAAAGATTGTATTTATTTGTCAGAGTGGGAGGCATAAGCAGGGGGAGTGGCAGGCAGAGGGAGAAGTGGTTTTCCTGCTCAGCAGGGAGCCTGATCCCAGGACCCCGGCAGACGCTTAACCAACTGAGCCACCCAGGCGCACACCCCCCCCCCCCCCCCGTTTTTTAAAAGATCTTATTTTTTAAGTAATGACACCCAACGTGGAGCTCTAAAACTTAAAGCTGTGAGATCAAGAGGTTCCAACTGAGCCAGCCAGGCATTCCTGTTACTTGTTCTTTTTTCAGTCTTGTGATGCTTGGAGATTAGAACAAAAGTTGATTCAGGTATTACTTACGGTTTTTTATTTATTTTTTTAAGATTTTTTATTTATTTGACAGACACAGAGCACAAGTAGGGAGAGCAACAGGCAGAGGGAGAGGGAGAAGCAGGTTCTCGTTGAGCAGGGAGCCCGATGCGGGGCTCAATCCCAGGACCCTGGGGTCATGACCTGAGCTGAGGGCAGATGCTCAACCGACTGAGCCCCCCCCCAGGACCCCCCAGGTGTTATTTATGTTAAGTCATCAGGGAGCTCAGGAACGAAAACATCTAGTGGAGGTGTTTGCTAACACTAATGTGTACTAGCTATGGACCAGTTGCTGTTATCCCTACTTTATAGTTGGGATGCTGACGCACAAACTGGCCTTAAGACTCAAAACTGATGTGAAGTGGAGCAGGGATTGGAGTTCATATCCTTTGGCTGTCGAACTTCCATCTTTGACCACTATGTTGTGCTGTGCTTAAAGACTTCAGGCAGAGTTCAGTTGTCCCGGGGTACCTTGGGTGGTGCAGTAGGTTAAGCATCTGACTCTTGCTTTCTGCTCAGGTTGTGTTCTGGGATTGAGCCCCCTGCTGAACCCTGTGTCTGGCTTTGTGCTCAGTGTGGAGTCTGCTTGAGGTTCTCTTTCTCACTCTCCCTCTGTCCCTCCCCCTGCTTGTGCTCTCTAAATAAAATACTACAAAAAAATTCCGTTCTCCTGTGCTTCTCCCCTGCCCCCATCTCCCCAAGAAGAAAAGGCCCCAAGAAATTTTAACCTAGGGATCAGTTTCTTAGAACCATTTCTTTTGCTTCAGGCCTGCATTGGTTTTTGTAACTGCTTTTTTTTTTTTTTTTTAAAGATTTGTCAGAATAAGCAGGGGGAGTGGCAGGCAGAGGGAGAATCAGGCTCCCCACTGAGCAAGGAGCCCAATGTGGGACTCCAATCCCAGGGTCCTGGGATCATGATCCGAGCTGAAGGCAGATGCTTAACCGACTGAGCCACCCAGGTGTCCCTGTAACTGCTCTTTTTAAGGATAACCGTTGTGCAAGAAAGTGTTAGCTATGGCACCATCATCTGAGAATCCGTTTTATGTGGAGGTTTTTTTTTTTAAGATTTTATTAGAATAGGAGCAGGGGAGAGGGCAGAGGGAGGAGAAGCTGGCCCCCCCCCAAGTAGGGAGTCTGAAGCAGGGCTACCTGAGCTGAAGGCAGACGCTTAACTGAGTCACCCAGGTGCCCCTTCATGGGGAGTTTTTTATTTATTGTATTTTTTTAAAAGATTTTATTTGAGAGCGAGAATGAGAGACAGCATGAGAGGGGGGAGGGTCAGAGGGAGAAGCAGACTCCCTGCCAAGCAGGGAGCCCGATGTGGGACTCGATCCCGGGACTCCAGGATCATGACCTGAGCCGAAGGCAGTCGCTTAACCAACTGAGCCACCCAGGCGCCCCTCGTGGAGTTTTTTTAAAAAATTGTTAGGACACTGGAGATTCACAGGAGTTACCATACTAACTTCTTGCATGCAAGGCACTTGAGAGGTTGAAAGGTTGCCTTTTTATGAGGGCTCAGTCCTATGTAAAAGACTAAAAATAAAAAAGGTTTGCTTTACCATGCGACCCTGGGAAATACCACTGGAGCCCAGATAAAGGCATGCCTGTGGGAGCTCTAGGACAGATTGCAAGGTGTCCAGAGTTAAGGGACCAGCATGTTCTAGGGAATGGGGTGTGAGCAGATATTGCTGGGATCATGGGATATGTGAAAGGAAGACAGGTTGGATGGAGTCCTTAAAGGTCAGGGTGAAAGAGTTGAGGTGTCCTAATGTTAGAAGTGAGGCTGTCTTTTCCATGGTCCGTTTTTTTTTTTTTAAAGATTTTATTTATTTATTTGAGAGAGAATGAGAGAGAGCATGAGAGGGAGGAGGGTCAGAGGGAGAAGCAGACTCCCCGCCGAGCAGGGAGCCCGATGCGGGACTCCATCCTGGGACTCCAGGATCATGACCTGAGCCGAAGGCAGTCACTTAACCAACTGAGCCACCCAGGCGCCCCTCCATGGTCCGTTTTGATCACTCTAGCCCTTAAAGGTAGACTAGAGGTAGAGAACCTGTTGGAGGTGAGACATTAGGCATAAGCCAGGTGGCGGCAGTGAGGTTGACACATAGGCAACATTAGTCTTGAATGTTAGTCTTTTTTTTCTTTTTAAGTAGGCTCCACGCCCAACATGGGGTTTGAACTCAACAACCCTGAGATCAGGAGTCGCATGCTCCACGGATTGAGCTAGCCAGGCACCCTTGATGTTATTCTTGGAAGTTAGTTGGAAGAGCTAGCGTCCACAAGACTGACTAAATTTGTGCTTTGTTGGAACATGTTAGGGTTTACTGTTTTCTAGTTAAGGTGATACTATTTTATGTCAAGATAGAGGGATGATGAAAGGAAGACCAGTTTTGGATATGGCAAGGTCCTTGCGGAGCATATAAGTGACATATAAGAACATATTAACATCTCAGGATTGAGTATGGAATGGGGATCAGCATCATTTATTTTATGGGATGGCTGGCTAAGGAACGATGAGCCTGTGGTGCCTGGGTGGCTCAGTGGGTTAAGCATCTGCCTTCGGCTGGGGTTATGATCTCGGGGTCCTGGGATCGAGTCCCACATCAGGTCCCTGCTCAATGGGGAGTCTGCTTCTTCCTCTCCCTCTGCCCCTCCCGCACGTGCTTGCTCGCTCTCAAATAAATAAAATCTTAAAAAAAGCCTACAGGAAGCTGGTAGGGCTGATGGCTGCATTTGGAAAGTTCTGCATTTCTCCTGGAGTCCCACCTAGCATTCGGAGCAGTTAGTCCCATGTGATGAGTGGGTGGCCTTGACGGTGGCCATATCTTAACCTTGGTGCTTCCTCTTGTAGCAAACTACCTGTTTTCTCCTGTTTCTCTGGTGGTCCAGTAGATCAGGATAGGGACATTTTATACAGACTGTCAGAATACTGTGCGTATACCCCTAAGGAAGTGTGTGGGAGGCATAAAGACTACCATTTCTAGTTGTGTCCTCTAGGTGAGGGATTCAAAGTGAAGTCGACAGCTTTTGCTCATTGTGAACTAGTGTATCACCGAGTGGCACAGAACCACGCAGGTACCTGCATACCTGGACCCCCTGTGTCTGATGATCTGTCCCTTACGAGTGGGACACTGGGCTGCTGTGCCTGCTTGTTGCTTTGCCTGCCTACCCCTATCTTGCTTCAAAGCCAGAAAGAATTTGGGTGCAAAGGGTATGCAGGATGTAATCCTAGCATCCTGGTTCCCCAACAGCCTTTGCAAACAGCACTCCTTAAGTGCTGTTTCCTGGTGAAGAATACTTATATTAATAATACCTCTGGAGGCAAAAATTCAATCGAGAAGAAATGGCTCCTAGAACTCATTCCCAAAGTTTTGGTTTTGTCGTTGGCCTGTTTTCTGGGCAAAGTATAACCTATAACCCCTTCCTGTAGGGGGCGGCAGGGAGCAGAGGGAGCAATGAAGCCTGCTGAAGTCTGGGCTGGTGCCAGAAGGAACCCTAGAATTCTGCTTGATTGCTTGTGCTCTTCTGTGTTTAGAGGATACTCTGTCGCTTCCCTTGAAGAGTGCTCTAATTTTACATTTTTTTCCCTAAGGAAAAGTGAAAGAGAAGCTATGTAGACTCGTCTGTTGTCACATGCCTCTGAGCTGACCCATTACGGTTCAGACCTTTTGTACATACGTCTGTTTTCGACCTTGGCCACAGGGCTAACCATGGGTAGCACTGGAGGAGTTACCAAATGGTAAATGAGAGGGGATATTCCACGGTGACTGTGAGGTAGAAAGGATAAAGCGGGGAGCCTGCTGCCCTAGGACCAGGCAGTAAAGTAGAGCTTTATTTGGCCTCTGCGGCATTTACACTGTAGTTTAGCTCTGCATGTGCTTCCAGGCTGGAAGTAGGAAAAACACACAAGTACAAGTTGGCTTTTCATATATTGAGTATAAAAAGAGATTCAGATTTGGGGTTAGTTGGCTGGAACTGCCAGGGATTCTATGTGGGACTGCTGCTGGGGAAGACCCCTCAGCTTTTCTCCAGGTCGACCACCAGGTAGGGGTGGGTGTTCTTCAGGGCCTGAAGGAGCAGATCTTTGCAGGTCTTGTTCCAGGCTGGAGCAAAGCTGAGGAGCTTCCTCATCTTCATTGGGTTGGTGGACTCGGCCCGCACTGCCCCGTACTGCTCCTCTGACAGGACCGTACCATACAGGGCGTCCAGCACCCCATCCACGTCTGTGACACGCGTGATGAGGGCTACCCGGTGCTGGTCCACAAAGTGCGGTGCTGCAGGCAGAATGGAGGCGAGCAGCTGAGCCAGTTCCCAGGGTGGATACTGGGGTCTGTTCCCCCTGAGCTCTGCTTTCTTCAGAAATTGCTCTGTAACCCTAAGGGGTGGGGCTCAAGGTGGGCAGCCCACCCACACTACAGATAGGGTGGGATGAGTATAACTTTGTTTCTCTCCCTCCCACCAGCCCCCCCGCCCCCCAACCAGGTGTGCCCCAAGGGGTACGTGTGTGGGTGGGAAGGATAGGCCCAACCTTGCTCCCTTTGTTCCTGGCTGTGGGACACAGCTCCAGGCTGTGCAGGGGTGTCGTGGGGTGTGGCTGAGAGGTTGGCAGTGAAGGCCTCACTTGGCTTGGCTGCCAGCTCTTAAGAAGCCTGGATCTCAGCAGGTGCCCCTGAGGTGTGGCCCAAGTGGTGTGTGGGTGGGTAGGAAGGGGAGGCCCACTCTTGCTTCCCCAGTGTTGCTAGCTGGGGGACACAGCTCCAGGCTGTGCTGGGATGTGGCCAGAGAGGTTGGGAGTGAAGGCCTCACCTGGCTTGATTGCAGTCTGGTGATCCTGGATCCCAGCAGGCCCTGGAGCGGGGCCTATAAGGAAATCAGTCAAGTGGTCCCCTTCCCTTCCGTTATCATATCTCCAGTCTCTCTGGGGCAGGGGCCCCTTGGTCCGGAAGCCAAGTTCAGGGCCAAGCACAGGAAACCCTTCCCAGCAGGAGGAGCATTTGTAATTTTAGAGGGTAGGAGGAACTGAAAGCAAAAGAGCCCAAGGGGCAAACGTTGGGGTGGGGCTGGTGTGGTGAGGGGACATAGGAGGCCCAGCGATCTGGGGCCTTGCAGAGCGTGGAGCGGGTGTGCTCACCTTTGCGCACCATCTGCAGCTGCTCCGCTGTTTCCTGCATGCCAATCTCACGCAGCACGACCGCGGTGAGCTCTGCGCTGTACTCTTCCAGGTAGAAAGAGACGAGCTTGTCTGTGAGGTCCATGGCATCCATGGACATCAGTGTCCCTCGCGGGATGCGCCCATAGCCTTCGCGCAGCGGCACTGAAAGTAGCTTCAGCTTGAACTTCTTGAACTCGTCTGCAGTCAGGTTCTCCAGCGCGTCCAGGATGGCGTCGCGAGTGCGCCCCATGGTTCTGCCGCTGCTGCTCACCCGGGATGTCTGCAGACCAGGAAGTCTGCTCTGGGGTGGGACCTGGAACTCCCCGCCTTCTCCCGATTCCCGCCTTCGCCCCAGCTCATTGCCGGGTGGCATAGGGCGCCCCGACTACCTCATTGGTTCCCACCCACCAAGGTCTCCAGGCTCACTAACCTGGCCATCAGGGGGCGCCGGGATTGCGTCCTCCAGCTGATGTGTGAGGTGGGAGCCGGGAGATGGCAGAGGGGCTCATGGGGTAGTGCCTCCATCTCCAGGCTTGCAGTAACTAGCACAGACCAGAACCTGGTTTATTGGAAGTGCCAAGGTTTAGAATCTTGAAATTCTAGAACACTAAAATGTCCACATTTCCCTGAATCTTAGCGTCCACTCTCACGTGTCATAGAATCTTAGAATCTTAGAATCCTAACAACCAGAGCCATGTAGCTTACCAAATTGCATGCACAGAGAAGAAAAGATGTAAAAAAAGGGTAGAGGGGCACTGGGTGGCTCAGTTGGTTAAGGGTCTGCCTTCAGCTCAGGTCATGATCCCAGGGTCCTGGGATCGAGCCCCGCATCAGGCTCCCTGCTCAGCAAGGAATCTGCTTATCCCTCTCCCTCCACTCCTCACTCCTGCTCATGCTCTCTCTCTCAAAACCTTAAAAAAAAAAAAAAAAAAAAAAAGTCGTGTACTTTCTCTGTGCCTGTTAACTTATCTGTAAAATGGGATCATAACACTTATCCACTTAGTAAATATTCCAGTGTAACATGGGCTATCTGATGGCCTCTACCTGATGGCCGCAAGTGGCCAGATACTTCCTGGGACAGCCAGGATTTGGTCCCAGGAGCTGAATTTCTGGGGAAGTGATGATGAGACACTTGTAATGAACGGTTGAGAAACTTCTCGATGGAGGGAAAGTCATGGGTGCAGAGTCACCCTGGGCCCAGGGGGCTTGATCTAGAAGAGCAAGTGAAAGGTGGCATGAGTAGGCATTGGAGCCCAAGCTGTGCCCAGAATTCTTAACTTGTCTTTAACGTGTCTGGGAAGGCCCTGCTGGTCTGGCCCCCGTGGACCTCACCAGCTTTGTCTTGTGCCACACCCTGTTCTCCCTCTGTCTCTGAGTTTCAACCATACTGGCCTCTCAGTTCCTCAAATGTGCCACGCTCCTTTGCTTCTCCAAGGCCTTTTTTGTTTTGTTTTGTTTTTTAAATTTTTTATTTCAGAGAGAGAGAGAGCATGAGTGGGGGACAGGCAGAGGGAGAAGCAGACTCCCCGCTGAGCAGGGAGCCTGATACGGGACTCAATCCCAAGACCCTGGGGTCATGACCCCAGCCGAAGGTAGACGCTTAACCGACTGAGCCATGCAGGCGCCCCTCTCTAAACTTTCAACGTGTTCCCTTGATCTGGAAATTTCTTCCCTCACTCTTTGCCTGGTAAATTCTTGAGACTTTAGGTTTCCAGTTAAATGTCACTTCCTCTGGCCAACCAGGTTTAGAATCCCTCCCAGACTAGTTCATAACACCTGCTTTCATAGCAATTGTGACTGAATTGTAACTATATGGATTTGTTTAGCATCAGTCTTCCCTGCCGGTCTGTAAGTCATGCCTGTCCAGATCATTGTTGCATCCACAGCATCCAGAACAGTGCTTGGCCTATCGTGGTTGTTCAAGAAATCTTTGTGGAACCAGTAATGAATGAAGGGGCCTTGTGGGAAACAAATCATGAGCGACTTAACTATAAAGAACAAAATGAGGGTTGATGGAGGGAGATGGGTATTAAGGAGGCATATGTTATGATGAGCACTGGGCATTATATGTAAATGATGAACCACTGAACTCTACTCCTGAAACCAATATTGAACTGTATGTCAACTAACTAGAATCTAAATTAAAAACAACAGCAACAACGAAGGCATCTGGTGGTTCAACGGAGGATACCAGAGGCAGCTGCCAGGAGCTGGAAGACTGTGGGCTTGAAGCTGTCCAGTGTCTAGTTTGAATCTGGGCTCTCCTTCCTAGGTGGTTATTGGGAACCCTTCATTTTTCCATTTCAGCTGGCTTGTAACAATCACCATTGCTTTTACTGATGTGATCCTGACATACACATTTATTTATTCATTTGTTGAACATCCGTCACCCAGCTGTGAGCTCGGTGAATGAAGGCAGGGACCTTGTGTGTCTTGTTCATTGCTGAATCCCCAGCATCAAGACAGTGCTTGATCCCTAGGAGGTGCTCAGTGAGGATTTGCTAAATGAAGGAATAAATGAGGCCGTGTTACCTGCAGCATGTTGTATTCAAGAGCTTCCAGCAAGGGTAGTAGCGGGGCTCACTCCCCATCCTTGTGCATGTTGCCTCACGTGGTCTAGGTATATTATGTGCCAACATCCCACCATGGGTGGCACCTGTGGTCCAATAACCAGTGTTCCTTGGCTTATGGTTGTTTATTATTGTGCCTCTTCCCTGATCTTTATCCTTTTACAATCTCCGACTCATTTTGCACACTGTGGCCAAGAGGCTACTGCTTCCTAGCGCACACATTGATCTTACGCCTTCCCTGCTCAGAAACCTAGGACTCTCCAGTGCCCTCAGAGTCAAGTCCAAGCTCCTTGGCTTGGTCTTCAAGATCCTTGCCAACCTCCTCAGCTACACCTTTGACAGTGTTGGCCTCTGGACTTCTCTCCACAAGTGGCACCTTTTCTCTGCTTGGCCTCTTTAAAGTCCCTTCTGGTTGCCTTGATGAGTTAGTGCTTGTCCCAACATCCATCAGGAGTCACTTTTTCGAAGAAATAATAAACATTTGAGCCCCCTCTTTAGGCTGTGATCTTTTACATGCATTATTTCAAAGCCTGACAACAATCCCTGGGGGACAGGGTCTAGTAGCCCTATTTCACCAACGAGAAGACTGAGGCTCAGAGAGGTTGAGGGACTTGCCGAAGGTCCTATAGCTGAGGGGATCATATAGCTTGTCTGTCTGGATTCTGAATTTGTCTTCTGTCTACTCTTCCCTGTTGACTTTTCTGTCCTCTGTGCAAAATGAATTATTCCTTCACACGTCTGCAGGATGCCTTTATGATGCCTTTATCATACAGTGTGTCCATTCACTCTGTTTTCCCACCAGACTGAGAGCTCCTTGAGGACCCTCTGTGATCCACAGCACCCACCACAGGGCTTGGCATAACTCCAGCCATTATAAGCCTTTATGGAATGACAAAAGAATCCTAGGATCTAGAATCATAACAACCTGCTCTTTTCACATTGGTAGAATCTTACATGCTTTAAAAAAAAAAAAAGATTTTAGGGGCGCCTGGGTGGCTCAGTCGTTGGGTGTCTGCCTTCGGCTCGGGTCATGATCCCAGAGTCCTGGGATCAAGCCCCACGTCGGGCTCCTTGCTCCGCGGGAAGCCCGCTTCTCCCTCTCCCATTCCCCCTGCTTGTGTTCCCTCTCTCGCTGTGTCTCTCTGTCAAATAAATACATAAAATCTTTTTAAAAAAATTATTTATTTATTTTAGAGGGAGAGAGTGAGTGTGCAAGAGCAGGGGTGAGGGGAGGAGCAGAGGGAGAGACGGGGGAAAGAATCTCAAGCAGACTCAAGCTCATGTGGTGCTCCATCCATGATCCTGAGATCATGAGCTGAGCCGAAACCAAGAATTAGATGCTTAACCGACTGAGCCACCCAGGTGCCCCAATGCTTTGGGTTTTTGAGTCATGGAATTTTAAAAATGATTGCCTGACTCAACCCCCACATAGAGCAGGGACCCCTAGCCACATGGCCATATTTCTGTATCTCTTGAGCCATTGTTTGGATGGGATGGCCTTGGCTTTAAGTAAACTCAATGTAACATATTTCAATGGAACCCGTGGGACTGTGGGAAATTGTGCCTGGGAGAATGTGTGTCATCCCTAGGAGGAGAAGGTGGGCTTCTCCTTCCAGCTGGCTTCCTGGGGGCAATGGGGCTGAAGATTTGTGACATGGCACAAGGGTCATGTGCCCTTCCCTTGTTCCTGCATGTCACCACCCACGACCCTTCTGGGCCCAGGTTGTCCCTGGCATCCAACCCCAGTCACATTTCTGCTCACACATATTCAGACCGGGACACGGAAGATCCAGGCTGTGATTTTCATACGACACCTCAGAGCATGTGCTGGCCCTTTGGTGTGATGTCATAGGGAGGCAAGGGACAAGGGACGGGAGAACAGCTTTTCCTTTCATGGAACCGGAAGCCTCACCAGCCGGTGGTTTTAGGATTCACCTCAGTTAGAACAAGTGACACTTTTTGGCAGGTGGATGTGCTCTATGAGCATATTGTAGACTCTGAACTCAGAAGGGAACATAGGTTTTGGAGAATCTATTTTATTCTATTTTTTTAAAGTTAATTTTTTAGAGAGAGAGAGCATGTGAGTGAGGTGGGGAGAGGGACAGAATGAGAGGGAAGAGAGTTTTTTTTTTTAAGATTTTATTTATTTGACAGAGAGAGACAGAGTGAGAGAGGGAACACAAGCAGGGGGAGTGGGAGAGGGAGAAGCAGGCTTCCTGCCGATCAGGGAGCCCGATGCGATGCAGGGCTCAATCCCAGGACCCTGGGATCATGACTGAGCCGAAGGCAGATGTTTAATGACTGAGACATCTAGGTGCCCCCGGAGAGAAAGAATCTTAAGCAGGCTCCATGCCCATCGTGGAGCCTGACATGGGGCTCGATCTCACCATCCTGAGGTCATGACCTGAGCCGAAATCAAGAGTCAGAGACTTAATGGACTGAGCCACCCAGGCACCCCTATTTTATTCTAAATAGATGTATTAAGGATCTACTAGACGCCCACCCACATGATAAGTGCTGGTGGGAGACAGTAATAGTAGTAATAACAGCTTCCATTCTCCAAAATTTACTATGTTCTAGGCACTGTGCTAAGCAGTTAACATGCATAATCTCATTTAAACCTCCCGACATCCCTGTGAGTGTGTGTATTTATCCCACCTTACAGAGGAGAAACCTGAGGTTTTCAGAAATTACTCTGGAAGCCAATAA